AGAACTTGAACAAAGCAGACATCATGAAAATTCTGAAACTATAAACTAATGCAAAAAGCTATCCAAAAGAAATTTAGATTTCTACTACGTATAGAATTCTATTAGTAGATGCCCAGATGTACTTTAACAAAAATTTCTGTACTTGCAAATGTTTAGTAATTATTCTCAGTTAGATATAACTTATTAAATTTTCATAATAACCTTTTTTTTTAAATTAACAATATCAACAGTAATAGTAAAATATTTAATAAAATTCAAGTCACAATAACTTTTGAACTAGCAAACCAACACAAATAAAATTATACTTGTCAGATTTGGTTAACATACTTTTTAAAGTAATAACGCTTTTTTTTTTAGTATTTTATCAAATATCTGATATTTTTTATCATTATACTATAAGAAAGTTGCCATGTTACACAACATGCAACAGTGCATACAGAAATTTCATTGTTATGTTTCTGATTTTTTATTTAAAAATACATTAAAATGAGAACTTTGCATAAAAATCAGGAGTCTTTTGCCACACTCTAGACAATAAAAATAAAAAAAAGGCAGCATTATTACTTCAAAGAGTATGTTAAAACAAACTTAATAAATGTAATTTTATTTATGCAGGGTTTCTAGTTAAAGAGTTATTGTAGTTTGAATTTTATATGTTTTTAGGTCGATCTATAAAAAAAGTTTATGAGAGCTTACTATAACTTATAAATTATAAATAAAAAAAAAATAATATCGTAAATATAAAGTTGAATATTTCTTTTTTAATAATTTTTAGCTTGCACAATTAAGGTTATAATTATTTTTTGTTCATACAATATATAATATATTAAATAGTTCAACTATTTATAAAAAAAATAAAGCAGTCAATTTTAATAATCTAGAAGTTCTCGCATGGCTAATGACTTTACTATTTCGAGTCTAGTTAGTATTTTCAGATTTATAGTGTATTCATCGCATTTTCGAATAGCATTTTGTGGATCCTTGTTATTGTCTTGTGCAATGAGAATGGTTTTAATAACCTGGTATACAAAAACACCAAGTTTTTTAAAAGTTTCAGAATCTTTTTTCAACTTTGCTAGATCAGTTGCCTTCAGATGCATTTGCAGTAACTGTTTCCACACTTTGTTAAAAACAAATCCATCTAACTCGTCATATGGTTCTTTTGCACTATTTTTAATGGGTTGGATCGTTTGTTAATATTAAACAGTAAATATTATTTGTTTAGCATTATTCATTATGAACCTTTTATTTGTTGATCTAAATTCATTTGCTAACCTTACTGCGGCTACGTGAAACTTATAATGATATGTATTGTACCATCTACCAACATCCTTGATTAAAGATCCTAACCTGTGATCAGATTTTGCAATCTTGCAAACTCGCACAATTAATTCTTCATATAAAAGATTACTGTTATTCCTAGTTCTAAGAAAGAGTGCTTTGCACTCTTTCTGTAATTGGAATTTAATGTACTATAAATATAATTTAAAAGATTAGTATAATTATTAATATGAATCTATTTGTTGCCAGCGATGACAAACCCAAGCAATCAGATTGTACGATTCAAAAATCTCAAAATTATGTCTATGAAACTAACTTCTATATTTTAACAAAAAATATTAATTATATAATGTTCCTATATATTACAATCCTTTCTAACCCTAAATATAACTCAAAATATACTCCAGATACTGTCATCGCTAGATTATTTCTAAGCATTATACTATACTATACAGAAATGCTAGGTCAAAAGGCATCAGACATTTGGCAATTCAGGTTAGTACAGTCTATAACAAAATTATCAGTTTGGCATTTTTGCTTAATGAGCAGCTATGATTTTATTATTAAAATTTCCAGTGCTCTTGGATAAAATCGCTCAATTCCTATCCAGCCAATTAGCCTTCTAACCCAGAATCTCCTATATGAGTTTATCTTACTTGGTCAATTTTCAGAAGTTTTGATACAGGTTTGTGTGATAGAGTAGATATTGAAGTTGCATCAGACACTTTATCTATTCTTGTCATCATCCTGTTTCTAATATTAGTTGCCAAATCTAATATCCTTTTATAGTGCGCTAGCCACAAAGCAATATCAAATTCATTATCCAGCTGTTTGAATTGTTTTGGTCGGTTTGGTAATGAATTATTTGTCATTACTTATTATATTAAACCAATTTATTTGTATATGTATAATCTGGTATTATTTATTTATCCCAATTGAAAAATAAAAAAAAAACATCATATTAACATGCCTAAGAATGGCTCCAAAATTCAAAAAAAGAAATTAATAATTAATCAAGTAATATTTGAATTTCGGAGCCATCCTAAATCATGCTTATAAATTTAAAATAATAACGTTACCATCTCTGTAATTTAACAAAAAACTATTATCTTCGTGAACTAGTAAAGAAATATCATTTTCGTGAACTGGTGAAGAGATATTATTTTCATGAACTAACAAAGTGATATTATTTTTGTGAACTGGTGAAGAGATGTTATTTTCACGAACTGATGAAGAAATATCATTTTTGCGAGCTGGTGAAGAGATACCATTTCTGTGAGCTGATGAAAAAATATTGATTTCATGAACTGGTAAAGAAATATCATCTTCGTAAATGTTATTGTCACATTCATTATCTGACAAAAAAACTTGAGATGCAACATTATTATTTTCGTGACCTATTAAAGAGGTAGTATCATCTTCATATCTTTGAATAGAATTATATTTTTGTATTTTATTTAGAACTGAAGAACTTGTAGCTTGTTGATTTGGTTTACATTTTTGTGTTCTCTTGAGAGCTGAATTTGTAACTTTATTATCTGGAATGTTAATAAGCAAGATATA